AAATAAATACGCAAAAAATATATAATAGACAAATTTAAAATAATCTAAAAAATTTAAAAATATGAAAATCTTCAAAAATTCCAAATAAATTTTATAAAAAAAAACTAAAATAGAAATAAATCTGAAAATTTTCAAAAAAATCCGAAAATTAAATTTAATTTAAAATCATTATAAAAAAGAACACAAGAACGTGAAAAATTAAAATAAAATGAAACGTAACAATAAAAAAATAAAAAAATAAAAAAGTGAATACTTGCATTATGTAATTTTAAATTTTTTATAAAAGGTAATAATTCCAAACTCGAATGCCAAATGTAAAAAATCTAAAATAGTTAAAACGTAAAAAAGCTGAAATTATTACAAAGTATGATTTTTAAAAAAATTGTAAGGACTAAGGAGCTACAAACTTTAATTCTTATTACTATTTTGTTGTTATTTTTTGTTGCATGTTGTTTGTTTGTGTTTCTGTATGTTTATTTTTGTTGCAAATTTCAAATATCTGTTTTTTTATTGTTTCTTCAAGTTTTATTGTTGATATTCATAAATTGAAATTTATCATTTTAGGTGATTACATATCTATAAATGATTTTTTGATTCCAACGAAGTAGCAAAGATATATGGGCAGAAACGTAAATAAACAACTAAAATCAAATTCAACTATAAACAACAATAAGCAACAAAATGCAACAAAAAGAAACACATATAATGCAACAAAAAGAAACAAAAGATAACATATGAAACTATCACAATAAATATATAATTTTTGATTTTTTGATTCTTAAGAAGTAGCAAAGATATATAAGCAGTAACCTAAATAAACAACTAAAATCAAATTCAACTATAAACAACAATAAGCAACAAAGTGCAACAACAAGTTCTTAAAATTTATATTAATTTTTAATTTCTTTTTGTTGATGAATTTTCATATTTTGTTACTTAATGTTTATATTTTGTTTCTTATTGTTTAGTTTTGTTTCTTGTGATTTTATTATATGCAATTTTATCACTACACACACATGTATAGGTTGTCTTTGTACCAAAATATGTGAAAACCCCGGAAACATGAATATAAAATTAAGAAAAAACCGGGCATTGATCAATATCGACATAAAGTAACAAGATGCAACAAAAAGAAACAAGATGCAACAAAAACCAACATAATAAAACAAAGAGAAACAAAAAGAAAAAACAACATACAATATACACATTTTTTTCCATATTGTTGATTATAATTACAAATATCATTACAAAATAAATGAGACAGTACAATCAAATTCATTTTCTAATATACTTTACAAGTAACCTAAAGAAAGTCCTTGCGATGCAACATTCCATATTCCACTTTACATGAAGAACAAACATGTTGATAAAAAATGAAGTATTTAAACAGATTCGCAATTATCAATACTTCTAGACATGATATTCTTATACAAGCTTTTGATTGAGGAAGCAGTAGTCATTATAGTTCAAGAGCTCCTGTCATTACAGTTCAAGTGCTGAAGTCAGCGACCACATAACTTTGTCAAAATCACATTATATATAGCGTCTGTTTAAAAATTTAGCACTCTCATTGAAATGAAGGAATGAGGGATGTATCCAAACCCAACCACCTTGCAGACACTTTTATAGCTTAAAAGCATACGTAGTACTTCGTATAAGCAAAGTTGCAGAATGCATGAACCATAAATGTCACCAACAGCTTTTATTTCAGCACATCCTAGCTAAATCCATCCAATCAAGGTCAATTACATCGGTTTCCAGACCAGGAAGTCTCAAGCTTGCTATTTTCCAGATGCAACTTTTATAAGAGAATCACAATTATCTCTAAACTCAACAAATGGATAAATAAAAGAGTTTTAACATTTATTCACCATCTTAACATGGTATAAAGGACCTGATATCCTATTGCTAGACAAGAAATTATATAAATTAAAGCCTTTCATGTAGAGCATGCATACAGAATTGGAAAATTATGGCCATCCTTTCATATTTGATAGTTAGTTTGAGAGTGAAATATCATTACTTTGATGTCAAGATCTAGAGGTAAATTGAAACAACATATGTCAAGTCATTATGTTACATCACTTAGCCTATAGCTTCCTAACCCGTAAGATCTACAAACAATCTAAAATAATAAAGGAAGCTAAGTTGTGAAATTTCAGCCAAACAATGCCATCAACGTTATATTGCAGTTCAGAAGCTTAATTGACTAGCTTTTTCACATGTAACATCTCCCTCTCTTTTCTAAAATTCTGCACATCTCCAGATCTCATAATGAATTGGGAAAACTATTACATTGTGGATCCAGTCATTTCCAAAAGTACTGAGACTGGCAAAGAGGCATATGTAATAGGGAGCATTGGACAATTTCCACTTCAAAGTTGAGATATTTACAGAATAAAGTGATGTTAGCTTTCTGAATTTTACCTTTCAATTCAATTTTTTCAAGAGTACACATCTTGTAGAAGTTAATTAGTGACTCAAATATTCAGCTATGGTAATTGATACTTCACAGAGATACTAATGGTACCATTACATAAAAAACCTACACAATAATGGGATTTAGCATTAATAGGTAGAGTTACAGGGATAAATCTAATTGACACGCCAAGTTCTAGCATCTGATAGCTTCAATTAAACGTATGTTGAATATATGTAGTGGTGTGAGAAAAATGAGTTGAAATTTTAAAAAAAGGAAGATAAATGCAAGGATTGACATACTCACCGAGGCGCACAATCACTTGGCGACCCTGTACACTTGCAATGAATTCCTCTTAGCGCGGCTCTCCGCTAGATCTAACATCAACCTCATCGAAAAATCAACCTTGCATGCCCGGGACCTTGAAGGCGGTGCGGAGTTGGCGATTGAAACTGCTCAAGTTTGAGTTGTTTGAAATAAGATTCTGCCTTGAGCTTCTCGTTGCCGATGATGGCTTTGAGTTGGGCCTGGAATTTGGTCGAGTGGCTTGGACAACGTGATCTTCATGTCTCCATCGCTGTAGAATAATTCATCGGGGTCACCGTAGAACTTCACCGTCGATTACCAAAGGGATGTACTGCGTAAGTTTTAATTTAGGATGTGATTATTTTTGAAATAAAATAGTTAAATTGAAAAGATGAAAGTCTAGGAATGAAAGAAAAATACTTACGAGACATAAATGAAATGTGACACCTAAAACGAGACTGTACGGGTAATATCCACAAAAATTCACATGTAACTTTTTATACTAAAAAATACCGTAGTCATAAGTCATTTTTAAGATTTGGGCTGGGTCGGGGTCTGAGTGAGCAGCCAGCTGCTATCTGTTTGATGCGAGCGACGAACCGTCCATCTATGTCAACTAGGGCTGCACATTGGGCGGGTTGGGTCGGGTTTGCTATATATTTTTGGCCTACCCGATTTGTTCGGGTTGGCTATTATTCAACCCGCGGTGCGCAAAATAAGTTGGTAACCCATGCATGAACGGGTCGGGTAGGGTCGGGTATTGAAAAAAAATCACTTCGGGTTGCATCTTTATGTGGGAGATTAATGTAACCAATTTAAAACTCGATTAACCTTTTTTCAAAACACACAAACAAATACAAATACTCGTATCTCTTATAAGCAAAAACATTAAATAATAGTATTAAAACATCCTTCCGTAAAGGAAGATCATTTAGAAGGAAACATAAATACATAATAATCACCTAGTCAAAATGGTAAATGTTTAATTATAATTCTAGTATCATAAAGTCCTAGATAGAGCATATTGGTCTTAAATCGAAATTATCCAAGAAAACATTGTAGCATAATAATAGTAAAATGAACTTCGGACGGGTCGGGTACTATCGGGTTGGAGATTTTAATTACACAACCCTACCCATTAGGTGCGGGTTCAATCATATTTAACCCATGAATATTTTTAAAAATCAAATACCCGATTAAATAGGGTCGGGTAGGGTTGGATCGGGCGGGTTATGCGGGTTCGGGTTATTCTTGTGCAACCCTAATGTCAACGATGGTGAGCGAAGCACATCAACAATTAAAAAACGGATTGTACCGTGTACATAATTTGCCCTGCGTAAGAGTAAAATGGTTTGAGATTATAGATACTTCGAAAAAATAAACTTGAATCTCACTTTCACGTTTCAAGAACTCTGAAGTTACTCCATTTTTAAAAAGAAAAAAAATCGTCACTTATTTTCTTTTCTTTTGTTAAAGACCAATTGGATATCAATCTTCCAATGGCTTGCCCACAACCAATCTCGAGCTAAGCTAAAATTGTAATGCCACGTGTTTAAATTCGATCCCCAATAAATACCATATATTATTGGAATGGTAATAAGTATGAAAAGCCAAAGAGCCATTCTGGTTGTGTTTAGATTTAAGGTTTCACAATTATTTTTTGGATGTTGTATATGAAGATTGTCTTGTCGTTCAAGAAAAAGTTACATATATTAAATTATACGGTATCTTTATGCTTGTTTTTAAAATAAATGAATACTCATGATCACATTATTATTATTCATAAATTAGTCCACCAAATTATATCCATCCACCCAACTATCTACTTTAATTGTTCAATTTTTTAGACTTTCTATTTCCTGTGCTTTTTGCTATGGGAACCTATATATGGGAGTAATGGGACTCAGTCCGAAATCGGGACCCGGACTGACTGGGTATCCGAAACTAACCTGGAATCCTAAAACCTGGGCCGGACTCAGTATTCAATAAAAAAATGGCAAGCACAGATAAAGTATATACCACATTCATGACAAAATAAAATATTCATTCATTGTTCATGAGTCCAGGTTAACTCATTTTGCAATCTGGGTTTTTATATACTACGTATGATATATTTGAATTCGATTCTGTGCGATTCAAAATATAGTGCTGTATATACCTTTAGCCCTTTAGGGTTGTATTGTGGTTTCTAAATATAGTGATTGTTTCAGACAGTGTTATCGTATGTTGCAAATCTGAAGAGAAGAAGAAAGAAAATTGGAAAACAAGAGAAGAAGCCCTTAGTCATTTGCCATTACTTTCATGAATAGAACCCATTTTGGTTCCACAAACAATTCACTAATCCAACTAGTGTGCAATTTTGTTACACTGAATACAAAATACAGCACACAAAATGATTAGTTGGAGTCAAAAGGTTACAGTGTACATTAAGCAATTGATGGCCTGATCATAACACATCATATACTTGTAGTGAAAGTAGAGCTGGGGGTATTCATTGATTCATAGGAAAAATAGTAAGTACAACAAACATTACAAGGGCACTAATGGCTTTTCACCTGAGAGGCTTCATTCAATAATTAAGCCGGCATGGTACAAGGAGCAAGACTGTTCGGAGGCAGGTTGACACCGCCTCCCTTCACAGACAGGTTACTACAAGTGCTCTTGATTGGGCTGATGGATGACTTGCTCATGAGATTTGGGTCAAGGAAAACAACAATCACTGTGATGTCATCGTGGAAATGACGCCTCACCCCCCGCTCTATCTTCTTCAAGTCTGAGTACCTCATTTCCCTTTTCTTTGATGCTTCTTGTAATGCAGCTTTCACCAACCTTCTTGCTATCCCCTGACAAATAGCATAATAAAAGATGAAAACCGAAGAAACTTCATCATATTCATGCACATACAGATTGCATCTATATATTTGGCTGGTGTGAGATGATTTAACGATGGTGATTCGTGGGAATGAAATACATGTGCTCGTTGTTGAGACTTATCATAATCAAGTTGTTAGTTAAACTTAAAGGGCTCTACCATATTAAAATTTGGGATTTCATCTTAAAAGTTAACCAGATCGAAGTTTAGCTCAAGGCATTATATCTGATTTTGTAATTTGTATCTTTACAATTGGCATGTGTAAGATGGTACAGCAAAAATAAGACAATATGTGTATGTATCTTACATTGCGTGGGTTATTTTGGACAATATTCACAGCTTCTTGATTACTAAGATGCTCCCAAAGGCCATCGGACGCAAATATGACGAATTGATCATCAGGTTCCAATTGGTGTATAGAAATAGACGGATCGGCACTCAGAAAAGGCTTTTTAAAAGGTTCACGGAGGCGAAACTTGGCATACAGCGGTTCTTTGTTGTATTCCGATTTCTTCAAATACACATCCCCAATAGATCTCGACACCTGCACGCATGATGGAACAAAATACAGTAAATAGGAGTAAAACATGGATCATTTGCTAAAAAAAGTCTTTGTTTCTTCTTAAGAGAAAGAAAGTTTGCTTTTAAGGACTGTGAATAGGAGTAAAACATGGATCATTTGCAAAATTGTTTTTTCAGGACTGTGAGTCTTACTTTAAAGGAAAACCAATGGCGATTCTCGTTGAATATAAGTTTAATGTTTGCTTCTATTTATAGAATTTTCCCTCCATTCCGTTAGCTCACTTTTTTAAAGGATCCCTCCGTCTATTTCTCAATCTAAAAGTAAAAATTCACCTGAATGATTCCCTTAACACGCCAAACGTTGTGCTTTAAAACTACTATCTGAGAGTCCTCTGGGTGCAAAGATTGCAGCTCTTGTCTCACAGATGCAATATTTGCATTGTGTTCTTCCGAAAGTTGAATGGCAACTACATCTCCAGTTGCCTTGACGATTCTCCCCAAAACAGCACGGGAATCCCCAGCGTTGGCCACATATAGGATCCCACTGCAGATTACTCCAGCCAGGCAGCATGATCCAACAGTAGCAATCTGTGGTTTCATATGCCACTGGTTGGCGACCACGGACGTGAAGCCATCTTCTGTTGCTTGAAATGCCTTCCGAATGACATCCGCCGACATAGATTGCTGCTCAGAAGCGAACCCTACGTATTCACATACATACCAAATGGTTATGAGGACAGTATTCGAAACAAGCAACTTAAATCACTTGGAGCCCATTTGGATAGGCTTAAAATGGCTGAAGTAAAGTGGAAGTGGAACAACACGCTGAAGTAGCCAACGTTGTAGCTAAAATGACTGAATGGTGAATTTTATTATGTTTTTTGGTAAACTAAAGAAAGTAACATCCAAAAATAATATAGAAGACTAAAGGTACTATTTTCTTCCATTTCAACCAAAAAGTAACTCATGCACTACTTTTTTTCTTTGTCAACAGCTTGAGCTAGTGAAAACATTTAAGGCCACAAAACAGGCTCTCAATCAATAACCATTCAGAATCATTATGAAGAAACACTAGAAAGTCAGACTGTTATTTGAAACATTATCATCTTCAATGATTACATTGAAACATATATACTCAGGCTGTCAGGTTCTACAAATAATAAGCAGAATAAGTAGATTGTGACTTTACTTATTTGGCTGACATCAATTTACCAAACGCTTAAAGTTCAGCATGTACAGCCAAAATACTTTATACTTAGTTCAAGAGATTTCACAGACTTAATAAGAAAAGGGAACATACTTTTGAGGTGCTGGAAAAGGTGTTGATTGATAAATCTAGAAGTCTCCGGGCCTCCATGGCCATCGTAGACACCGACAAAGGTGCCGTAAGGGCCAGCCTCATGTGTGCTTAAACAGCCGGACTCGAGCTGGCTTTGATCTTCAAGTAGATTATTGGCTTGAACCACAGCCATTGAAAAGTCTCCAGTAATATGTTGGCCTGTGTCTTTATACCATAAGAGGCCATCTTGACGGCCACCGGCATCAGAGCTCGAGCGGACATATCGATCCGACTTTGGCCCGAAACAGGCCCGAAACAGGTTCATCAAACCAGATAACATCCCTCATCTCACCCAAACCACACTCCTAATTCGTCTCATCTAATATTACCACCCGAATCAACACACTTCTAAGATTATGGTAGAAAGAAGAGCTCAAAATGCTAGCCAATCACAACATGGAAACAACAACCCGCAACCAAAGATCCTGCAAATGATAATAAACAATCATAAACGCCTCAAGAAATTGAATATAAGCTCTTCCTAGCTACTGGTACTGTACAAAGATGCAAAACCCCATTTCTATTTCTTCTCCTTATATACGGAGTATATAAAAGCAACCATGAATAAGACAGCCGCAAAACACCTAAAAATCAAAGGCCACACGAAAAGGTGGGGGTTGGGGCGGGGTGGGGACTGAAATCCGGAAATCACTTTTTCAACACAATAACACTGTTCGGTCAGATGGCCGAAATCCAGAAAACGAAACCGAGATGGCAAAATGCGTAGCGGAAGTGAATTAAAGATCATACCTTTAGAACGGAAAGAGAAGATCTGAATGCCAGAGATGTAAGATCTGTTGATGGAATGAACCAAATCAAGAATCGGGCAGTTGATAGAGAATGAATGGTTCTTTTCTTTTGTTTTCTTTTCTCCCCCGTTTAATTCTTTTTTACTGTAGTGAGCACGCACGGGCAGAAGAAGCAGAAGAAGTAGGAGATGGAGGAGGAAAGTGAAGTTATGGATTGAGATTGGAGAGGGAGAGGGGGAAGTGGGTGGTTATGTAATTTGGTTGGTTGGATTGGGCCAACTGAAACTCCGGTCTCTCTCAGCAGACAACCCCCATTAAAAACCAACCATGGAGAGCTTGAAGCCAGCAAAGATGAGGACCAGTATGGGCTCCACAATTTAACCCCCACCCTCACCCACTAGACTGAGGCTTAAAGAGAGAACGAAAGAAACATTACACATCAAAAAGAGGAGCAAATTTTGGGGATTATTATACGGTGTGTAGAACTTACATGGAAATTTCCGGCCGCATTGTCCTCTCAGTCCTCACACACCACTAGTCACAATTTCTTACGACTATAATCTAATCACTCTCCCGACTCACTCCAGATCACAAAAAATTACTCACTTCATTGTTTTTAATTATATAAAGATATAAAGATTTTGTGAGTATAAAAATATATGGAGTACATATTTATTAATTTTCTTAAAGTACTATATATGTATTTCAATTTATTTCTCTCAATTATACAAATTTCAATTACACGTTTTCTACTTTTCTTAGTTCACGTTCAACTCAAAGTTGACAATGTACAATGGAATGAAGATGGAAAATTTTGATCCGCACGGTAGCTCAGTTGGTCGAATTGTGGGAAAAATTGGACGTAGACCAAGGTTCGAATCCCGCAGCGGCCAAAAGGGGGTTTTCAGAACCTGAAATAAGGCTGACCCTCTGGTGCGTACGGGTAAAGGCCTACTGCCGTTTTGCTGACTGAGTCACCGTGATTTACTCCTCCACCATCCTGTCGGGTCGGGGTGGGAGAGCCCTTGGGGTTGGGGATTCAACCTTTTGGACATGAAGATGGAAAATTTTGTCATTTAAATACATTAAATTCTTTTATTTAAAGGAAAATAACAAACTATATTAATTTAACCAATGATTTACTGTTACAATCAGTCAAAAACTCAAAATTCGTCAACTATCTTCTAACAGACTTCATCTATATTAAAAAACTATATGATCAACTACAAAGACGGTCACAACTAAAGAAACATCGCAAATCACCCAACATTAAACAAGTAACATAGAGTTTTTACCGACCCTTAAGGTATTTATACTCTTTACCATTTCAACATACTCAAAATAGTCAAAAAGTTCTCTCATACCTTGATTAAACATAGAAAAGTTCACCCAAAATAGAGCGAAACTTTTCACATAACATACGAGACTTTCGAAACAAATAACGATAAAAAATGTCACTTTTTAAAAATACAAGAGAACTTTATTGATAAAGAAATGAAAAAAGTTACAAGTAAAAGAAAAAACAAGAAAACAAAACGTGAAGCAAATAAATAGACTATCAACTATCTAAAACCCAACTCAAAGAATAACAATGAGACCCTCCCAAAAAAATTTAGGTATTGAAACATATTGTTTTGTTGATGACAAACAATTAGTGTTATTTTTAATTCATATATGTGATTGCAGGAAAATAATTTAAGTCGTGCTCTGGAACAAGTCATAGAACTGGTCCTGGAACTACACGCGAATCCAAAATTGATTAATTTGGCTTACTTAGAAATATCTTTTCTCTCCACTCAAATTCGGTTTTGGCTTGTTAAGTTAATGAGAATTTTTTAGTAAGGATATAATCAATGATCATGCAAAGATTTTGTTTTCTTTAAAGAAAAGTTATTTAGTTAAAGGCATTAAATAAGAGATCTTTCCCACAAAGCAAGTTTTCAAAATAAAAGGAGTTATTCAAAAATCAAAAGTGAAAAGAGTATCTTTTAATACATATAAGGAAACATTTTTTAAATAATTTTCATGCAAAGATGACCGTAATATATATGGAGACCGAGCACATTAAGAAGAGTACATCAATTCCTGATCTAACACATTTAAGAGATTCATCCTCAAAGGAGAAAGATACCACAAAGGAGAATTTGGCCAATTCAACAAGGAAAACTTTTAAATTTCACAAAACCTTGGCAGCTTCTAGACATTCCTACATATGACCAGGCTCGTGCATAGAGAAGAGCGCTCTTGAACCTAAAACAAATTACTCAAAGAAGGAAAGTAATACACTGCAATGCCTTAGAAGACCGAGTACTTGCGACAGTTCTAGCTATTTGCGGTTCTATCCTTTGTAATTTAACTGCTTCTATTGTATTGGAGTTAAGATGAACATTTGATAATGTTTTCCTCTGAGGGTTGGGGTGTGAAATGAGAAGATTTGTTGTTAAGCCGAGATACTCCTTACCCACAAGGTAAGGTAGTGAGAGCTCTACCTAGAGAGGTTAGAGTTGTGGTAGCTCAAAAGTAAACTAGGAGGCTTTATCTTGTAACTTGTTTAATGACTTTTAGTGATTTGTTTTCAAATTCCTCTGAGGGAGGTTGGGGTTTTTATTCCTTGTCGAGCCAATGCATTTTTCCTCATTAAATTCGTATGTCCTTTAATTTATGTTTTCCCTTTTCCCCGCACTAGAATTCGGCGAAAAACTAACATAGTTCTACAGACAGACAGTTCACCCTCCACTCGTGTGATTCAACCAATTCATCATTAGGCTTTTAGTTAACTCTTCAAAGCTCCATTCTTGATGTGACCGTTGATTCTTCTTTTTGTATATTCTTTTTTGTGTGTCCAGATTCTGAGTGGGCAAATAGTTTTCTTGTGTGACCAACAAAACTTTTGGATAAATAATCTCATTGCTATCTGAGTCTAAAAGGTCACTCGATAGGAACCCTCTTCTCATTCTCCGAGACATGTCTAATAAATTCATCCCTCGAAAATCTATAGCTCGGACCATCATAACCTCCATCACAAGTAAGACCGGTAAAAATACATGTAGATTTGGGGAATCCCTAATGTAATTAACATGTATACCTCTAATCTCACCACCTGACTCTGAAATTCTTATCTTCTTATTTTCATTTCCCGAAACTCTAATCTTCTTCATATTCACCACTCTGAAACTCCTATCTTTTTCTTTTACATCACCTATTTTTGTAACTCTATCTTCCTCTTATTCACTTGCCCCAAAGCATTTTTGCGTTTCAGAAGATTCTCCTTCATCTATGGGTGACGAAGTCAAGCTACCCAGACTAGAGGTAAGAAGCCTCTGAAATTTATAATGTAGGAACTAAGAAACACCTAAAAATGCCACTAATACAAGCAAACCAAAGATAAAATTAAAGGTCTAAAGTAATACTCCCTCCATCCCTAAATCAATATCCTAGTTTGACTTCACACGTATTAAGGAAATGAATTTACTCAAGGGTAAATTTTGCTGTAGAGTATACTGTTTGGACAAAGTTTGACACTGTTTTGCATTTTTTGATACTGTTTGATATAGATTTGTTTACCAAATAAAGAAGTAGGACTTTAATTTAGAGACATCACAAAAAGAATAGTGCGACTTTAATTTAGGGGCAGAGGAAGTATTAAAAAGATCGAAAGAAAAATAGAGAAAAAAACGATGCGAACAAATCCAATCTTGAAGCGTCTTCCAAACCGTAGCCACACCTTGAAAGCCAAGATCAAGAGAGCAATCACCTGAAAGCCTGGTATCCACTACAAATGAAGAACCCTTCCCAAGATCAATGAACATCATAGTAACAACTCAAAAAGCTTACCCAAATCAAGAGAGCAAAACTGCTGCACCAACCTTAGAAGCCAACATGGCAAAAAAGCTAAACCCTATAAAGGGATACCAAACACATATTTTGCATTCAAATACATGAATTTCTAAAAGTCAGTATTTCATCACTCCTCACCCAAAATACGATTATGAAAGGGGAAATTACCTTAAATAGGTCAAGAAACGTTTTTATATTCCAAAATAGGATTATCATGTTTTATTTCCAAAATAGAACTAACTATTGCCAGGTTTTGGCATTACGAGACTTTAAACATGTCAAAATTTTCCAAACTTGGCACTAATTACTCTTATTTTGCGAATAAAAACATGGCAGTCGTATTTCAGAATTTTCAAACTTTTTTACTCCTATTTCGGGAATTTTTCCGTATGAAAGTGTAAATTTTACATAGGGAAAATACTATACCCCATTTAATAAATTTTACACTATTCACATGCTCTACTTTGACATCATTTTATTTATTAATTTATGAGAACTATTATACCCTCTTACCTGAGTACGAAAGTAAAAAAAACAATTTAAAAGGTACGCCACATACAATCTTCTAAGATAAGGAACAATAGTCAAGGTAAAACAGTATTGGTGCAGAAAAGTGTCTTTCCGAATCAACCACAGTAACAATACAAGTTGAATTAAAAAAACGACGGAAATCATAGGCTGATTTCCAAAAGGGAGGGGAATTCAACTTTTTTTTTGTTTCCTCCAATTCCTTTCCCATAAGTACACCTCAGTACATAATAACTCCTCCGATCTACCCATATTCTACTCCATAGATTTAAATGTTCTCCCAGATTTTTCATCTCCTTGTCTCCAGTTGCAAGACTTAAATACTCTTCCAGATTCTCCACCTTCATGCATGCAGCTGCAGTTGTATGTCAGTCCATCTCCAATAAACAATGAGAGAGAACCTGATACATTTCCTGATGAAAGACATGAACCACAAATAGTCAGTGCACACATCATCCAAAACAAAAGAAAAAATAATGTCTTAAGTGAAAATGATAGAACAAGAGTTGTGGAGATACTTTTGTCAAAGGCAGGCAAATGGAAGCTTAAAGGGGCATAATAAAAGAAGTGGCTGGTGAGTTTGGAGTTCGCAGACACACAATTTCAGGAATGTGGTAAAAAGTAGTCAAACAAATGACATGGAAAGATATTGATGTGTTACCTAAGTGGAAGGGAAATGTTGGGAGAAAGAGAATACAAATTGACACTGAAAAGATAAAACACATTCCAATTTACAGAAGAAGTACTCTAAGGTCGCTGGCAGTAGAGCTGAATTCCTCAAAATCAGCACTTCACACATGTTTGAAATTGAAGGAGATAAAGAGGCACTCAAATGCTGTTAAACCAATTCTAACGGACAAAGGTAAGAAGATTAGAATGCAGTTTTGTTTAAG